AGGTTTATTTACATATAAAACTAGCTAGCGCCTATTGGTGACAGGTGCACAGATATACACAAATAAATAATTTATAACATTTATTTTAGATTTATTTTATGTTTCTAGTACTGCATGTCAAAGTTATAGTTACTATCTTACCGTAAACCTATGAATATTTTATGAATAATTGGATTCTGAGTCAAATTATTGATTAAATAAAAATAGCTAGCGCCTTTAAGGCTCAATTCATTTATCGAGTTAATCATCTTATTGCCTATTCATTGTGAAAGTTTTCTATTACACTCTAATAATTAGAGTCTGGTACAATTTATTAGTCATTAGTAATGACTCATTACTGCAATATTGCTATTTATAAATTCAATTTTTAATGTTATTTATATTGTCTCATTATAAATAAAAATTATTTATCTCATAAATCTATCAATATACAAATTACCTATACAAAGAAATCAATTTTACTAACGTGTAAATAAAATTATGGTTAATATTTTAAAAAATCATTTGTATTATTATATTTTATATGATTTACTGTATACTGTATATGTGCATTTATATGAATTATACTTAATTTTATTCATAATAGTGTTCCCAAATACCATCACACGTGGTATCAAAAGGGTTATACATGACAGGAGTGGTGGTGTTTGGGTTCAGATTCTTGATTCTTATGGTATTATTTGCATTGTCTATAAATGTTGGCCAATCACTCGATGGCACTCTATATGCAAAATATAAGACAATTGCTATTTACAAATATTTATAAGAATTTTATTTCAATAATAATGACCCGGTTTTAGCGAATTGAGTCCACATTTGCATGATTTCTAAACTGAATTTCATGTCCAATAATGTATTCGTATTTCGCCACACAATGGGAGACCCAAAGACAAACTCGACATCAGATCCATGGCATATACCCATTGTCTCCTCCATACAACCGGTATGGACAGCGTTTTTGCTCTGGTATGTCAGCTCATAGTAGTACACATTATGAGAAGAATTTGTATTACGTTTAGCAAACTGTTGGACTGCTGCTGCAATGCATCCGATTGTTGGACCAAATCCGTGAAGTCCTTAAGTAACAGACCTTGATTATAAAGCCCATCCCTAAAAGCTGTCTGTGCTTTGACGGGTAAAAACTCTGTGCCCTCGACGGGAAAGGCACTAATCTTTGGGTAGTTATTGATATCCTCTGCACTCAATTGTATCAAACACTGCAGCCATTGATCTTCACTACAATTAAAATGTTTTGCCATTTCCTTGGCCTGACTTAAGGCCTCCGATGCGTTTAAAATGGGTCTCTCCTTATAGTACAATTGGGCCCCACTTTCCATAATAGCCCTCTTGAATAGACCCCGAGATAGCGGCGACAGTATGTGGAGAGATGTAGACCAGCTGCCGGCGCTCTCACCAAATATAGTGATCTGATCCTTATCACCACCAAACGCATGGATATTATCTCTTACCTATAATTTCTCAATTGTATTCATAGTGTTAACTAACTTATCA